CAAAAAAGACTTCAACGTACACCATTGCCGGTCTGTCGAAAGCAGATTTCAAAAGCACTTGAGTGGTTAAATTGAACCATTCTGACTACTTTGACATCGGAATATCACAGGAGAATTTGAGCCAGTACCCTTTGAGTGATGCACCAGTTGTAATTGACTATCGTCAATCAATAATAAATAGGGAGCGAGAGGCTACAAGTGTTCATGATAATGAAGAAGAGATAGGTACCGAAGAGGGTCCTTGTACTTTTGTAGTTCAAGGGCTGACTGGAGAAGAGTATTCTACCATGTCTTTGGAGGCAATAAAGGCTCGAGCACTGAAGCATTTGACATCTAACAAAAAAATCATGTTTGCAGGCCATTCACAACAACCCAACTCCATTTATAATAACCCTCAACTATTTCCTGCTATGCTACCATGGCTATTTCCTTATGGCCTTGGAGGTATCAAAAATGATATGATACCCTATAACATATCTACTATGGCCCACAAGCGTTTACTGTTAATGTATCATGATAAGTGATTCCAAATGGATCCACATTTTCCACTTATTGCATTCAATCACTTGTGCAAGAGGGCCATTGCAAGCATGGCAGATACGAGTCCTTTTTATATTCAGGAAGCTACAATGCAGCACCACAACATTCACATTTTTGATTATTTAGGAAACTAGTCATGTGACCACCTCCTGAAAGCCCATCAGATTTATACCCATTTACTATATATATATAGTATTGCTATTTTACATTGGATAAAGTGTATATTTCCATTTACCTACAGAGAGTACCTACATATACATTGAAAGCAACAACCAGTATTATCCTCCATTTTTCTCTAAATTTTTCCAGTCTTTTATAGTTAATTTCAAGTAGATTACTACATATGGAAAGTTCTCCTGGACTCTGACCATGCTCCCCAATATTGCACAAGCAGTAACTTTCCCTCAATTTCTTATTGCTATTTTTAACTCAAAAAGTGCAAATAACCTCAGTTTAAAATATGCTAAACATTGTCATCAATAGTGCACATTGCCCCCCATTTGTTTCTGATTTGTCTTCTATTTTTATTGCTATATTTCCTTTCAGGAAATGTTCATTATTCTACATCATCAAACCATCAATTTTTATGGGAGAACAGTGTTAGAGGTAGTAAAAAAATCCTTGAGAAAAGAGGGTAATAAACTAGTGTTTTTATAAACTCAGAGGACTCATAACATCATTGCTGACAATGAGCACCATATTCCAATTTTCTCTAATTTTTGTGCTATTTTCTGGCAATTGTTAGATAAATTTTCATTTGAGAAAATGCACCTGGGACCCTTGAAACACCTCCAACATATCTTGTGGATAAGATTCAGACCAATGGACCAGAAGTCAAGTAGTGATTTGTGGTTGGTGGCAGATGTCTCGTCTACAATGAACACTGGAATGAATGCTTCCACTACCTATACAAAGTTGCCACCCATCCCCTGGTGCATAACACCATCAACATCAAATGCATCCTCATGTACATGGTAGACATGATCCTGCAGCATTAAAATACAAAGCTGCATGGGAAGACACCACAATGGCTCAACATGGTAAGCAAATGCAAGTGGATCAACACTGTTGTTTTTAACATTTTATCACAGGGCTTCTTCGCCTCATGGACAGCACTGTCATATACGCCTGCACATTGAACTATCCTAAGGATTGAGTGACTGGTTTACAGAAGGCAGAATACAATGTAATCAATTCATGGTGCTTTGCAGGGTAGGCAGATTAATACAATGTAATACAATAAATTGTTAAACAACAATTCAGAAAACGTCTCCTCAATCCTGAAGTAGTAAAAGAGTTGTATATTGTCCAAGGCATAATACTGGGCAAACCTGAGGATATGACCAGGAATGCATGTACCAACTAAAAATAACAAAGGGGAATATGTAGGGGGTGCTGCCATCGAACAGACTGGTGTTAAAGGTGTGAAGGGTACTCACTGCTACTCTACTACTTGCACACATGTAGTAGTATCAAAATGAGTCTACACTGAAGGGAATTGAGCCACAGGAAGGTCTTGGGCAGAGTTTAGCATAAGTTCAAAAAACACGAAATTACAAACAGATGTACCTCCACAAAGGGTCAACAGATTCATAAGTGGTTTGTTGGAGCATTTTTGAGATGTGAAGTAGTGTCCAAATGAGTCCACATTGAGCCATAGGAAGGTCATGGGCAGAGTTCACCATAAGTGCAAAAACATGAAAATACAAACAGACATACCTCCATGAAGGGATGACAGATTCGTAGATGGCTTGTTGGAGCATTTTTGGGATGTGTAGTAGTATTAAAACGAGTTTACACTGAAGGGAATTGAGCCACAAGAAGGTCCTGGTCATAGTTTATTATAAGTCAAAAAAACATGAAAGTACAAATAGAAGTACCTCCACGAGGGGTTGACAGATTCGCAAACGGTTTCTTGGAGCATTTTCGGGACGTGAAGCACTATCCAAACAAGCCTACATTCAGGGAAATCGAGGCACAGGAAGGTCTTGGGCAGAGTTTAGCAGAAGTGCAAAAACATGAAAGTACAAATAGATGTACCTCCACCAAGAGTTGACGGTTTCATAAACAGTTTGTTGGAGCGTTTTCGGGACGTAAATTAGTATCCAAACAAGTCTAAGTTGAAGGAAATCGAGCCACAGGAAGGTCTTGGGCAGAGTTTAGCAGAAGTGCAAAAACACGAAAATACAAATAGACGTACCTCCACGAAGAGTTGACGGTTTCGTAAACGGTTTGTCGGAGTATTTTTGGGACGTGAAGTAGTATCCAAACGAGTCTACGTTGAAGGAAATCAAGGCACAGGAAGGCCTTGGGCAGAGTTTAGCAGAAGTGCAAAAACACGAAAGTACAAACAAACATACCTCCACGAGGAGTTGACAGATTCGTAAACGGTTTCTTGGAGCGTTTTCGGGACGTGAAGCACTATCCAAACGAGTCTACGTTGAAGCGAATCGAGCCACAGGAAGGTCCTGGGCAGAGGTTGGCATTAGGGCAAAAAGACGAGTCATGGCATTGCCTGAAAATGACGTACTTCCTTTGCGGGCTACCTTCAAAATGCAAGGTAGCCCACAAGGGAAGTACGTCATTTTCGGAAATTTCCGTGACTCAACTTGTGAGTCATTCCTTTTGATCAGCGGAATATTCACCATTATCCTCACAACTTCTCAGTACCTTCCTGCAGTCCGTTTCGCTTGAGTGTGGACTCGATTCAATACCTACGCATTCCACGAACAAGCTCCACAAAACCGTTTACAAAACGGTCAACTTCCCATGGAGGTAAGTATCACTTTGTATATTCGCATTTTTGCACTCATGCTCACAAGCTCTCAGTACCTTAATCTGGACCATTTGGCGTGTGCGTGGGCTCGTTCGAATAGCCCCAAACTCCCTGAAAACGGACCACCAAACCGTTTGTGAAATGGTTGAGGCCTCGTGGAGGTAGGTCACTTTGTATATTCGCTTTTTTGCACATATCCTCACAAGCTCTCAGTGCCTCATTCTGGTCCGTTTGGCATGCGCGTGGGCTCGTTCGGATACCCCCAAACTCCATGAAAATAGTCCACAAAACCGCTTTCAAAATGGTTAAGGCCTTGTGGAGGTAAGTCACTTTGTATATTCGCTTTTTTGCACATATGCTCACAAGCTCTCAGTACCTTAATCTGGACCATTTGGCTCGTTTCGGATAGCCCCAAACTCCCTGAAAACGGACCACCAAACCGTTTGTGAAATGGTTGAGGCCTCGTGGAGGTAGGTCAAATTGTATATTTGCCTTTTTGCATTTATGCTCACAATTGCTCAGCACCTCATTCTCATCTGTTTGGCATGCATGTGGGCTCGTTCGGATACCCCCAAACTCCATGAAAATAGTCCACAAAACCGCTTTCAAAATGGTTAAGGCCTTGTGGAGGTAAGTCACTTTGTATATTCGCTTTTTTGCACATATGCTCACAAGCTCTCAGTACCTTAATCTGGACCATTTGGCTCGTTTCGGATAGCCCCAAACTCCCTGAAAACGGACCACCAAACCGTTTGTGAAATGGTTGAGGCCTCGTGGAGGTAGGTCAAATTGTATATTTGCCTTTTTGCATTTATGCTCACAATTGCTCAGCACCTCATTCTCATCTGTTTGGCATGCATGTGGGCTTGTTCGGATACTCCCAAACTCCATGAATATGATCAACAAAACTGTTTATGAAAAGGTTGAGGCCTTGGTTGATTGTTATACTTTGAATATTCGATTTTTTGCACATATGGTTGATAAGCTCTAGTAATGTTAATCTTGGTCCATTTGGCTCGTTTGAGATAGAGAGAGCAGAGGCATCACTAATTCATAT